CTGGGTACTTCCTCTAAGGCATTTTTTTTTTTCAATTTAATGTGAAAGACCAAAGTATGTAGCATTACTTGGCCAGTGTAACTAACTGGAGCAAGGGTCAACAAACTTTTTCTGTAAATGGTCAGGTAGTAAATATTTTAGGCTCCCTGCCACAAGTACTCAACTCTGCTGTAACTTGAAAACTATCACAGACAATATGCAAGTAGGTGTGTCTGGCTGTGTTCCAAAACAATTTTGTCTGCCATAAAGGTGGCAGGCAGGATTTGACACACCGTGTCATTGTCTGGTGACCCTTGTAACAGAGCCCAAGAGACTTGGTGACCTGTGACACTGCTTTCTCCCTCCAGTATGTTTATAAGATGTCTCCTGGATGATTTCCTGATGAATTGTTTGCTGTCATTATCATTGTTGTTCTGTCAAACAAGGACTGTTTGGCTGTTTCAGCCACCCACAGCTACCTCACTGTTTACATACCAAATAAATGGCTGGAAGTTAGTGGCCCTCCAACCTGTAGGGAAGGGGAAAGTTAAGGCAGCCTGTTTCTCAGGCAGAGAGATAAGCAAATAGCACTATCAGCAGAAAGCTCCAAAAGTGAATAGCCTGCAGCAACAGTTGAGTTAGTTCACTGAGACAAGGAAAGAAGGAGAAAAACAAGGGAGGAAAACAGTGAGACTGATTGAATAGCAAACCAGTCTGTAAGCTCTACTGTACAGACCTGCCCAGCTGGGCACTTTATCTTGAATTTGTTTTGCAAATGACAGATGCCTCACTCTGCAAGCCAAGGAAAAGAAAGGACAGTCATCCCATGGCAAAGCGCTCTCATGGACCTCAAGAAACACACATTACTTCATTTTGTGTGTGTGTGTCGGGCGGAATCATTCAGTAGCTCCTTTCCAAATAAGTTAACAGAAACAATCATTTTACTCAGATGCCTAGAATAACACAAATATTTTCTAGAATTTTTTTTAGTAACGGGAGCATAATACCTGCCCCAAACTTTGACTCCTTTGCAGAAATCAGTGTGTCACTTGCTTTAACACTACAACTGACTCAGCTCAATAAGTCTTACTATTTCGATGAAATGGGATTTTTTTTTGCTGCTTAGGACATGTCTTACTGGACTTCATTCTATCTTTTGCTGAAATAAGTCCTGCCTGACAGACCCCTTGCATTGCATTAACATGAAAAAAAATCGAGGTAATTCCAGCATCTTAACTAGTTAGCATCTTTTTAAAAGAGCTCTCACATATTCGCTATGATTTAAGAAGATACTTCTTGCTGTGAGACCCACTAGCCAAGCCTCTTCTGTACCGTTTCTTGGTCATATCTACGAGACTTTCTACATACAAGCTGTTTCTTTAAATATTTATCCTAGAAATTTTCAATTAGCTGAACTAGCTGATAGGGGCTGGGAGAGGGAGTTCATTCTAAATTTTTAAATTTCGACGTTTCTTTCAAAAGTACTTCCAATTGCCTTTGGGGAAACCACTGTTAGTAACAGGAAGGTAATTTGTTGTCTCAACAGAAGGAGTGCCATTTAAAAGAGTTCAAGTGCTCTCTTCACTTTCTAGCAGGTCAAAGACAGACTTCCACCCTCATGCAGTTAGTACTTCCACCGGCAGTCCATGGGCAAGATATCAAAGCAACAGAGCAACCAACTCCAACTTGGAAAAGGCCTCTTTTGCCAGATTTTTCCCTACGCTAACACAGGCACCCAGCTTCTATTCAATGTGAACCAACCACACACATGCCACCTCCTCGTGAGCCTGTGTGACTATCTCCAGCTGAAAAGCCAGTCCACCCATGGAGGACGTAAATCCTTACAACCATTGTGGCAGTAAATTACCCATCAGTAGCACAGCTCTGGAACTCAGAGGGGCAGCAGTCAGCAGGATTTCCCAGCAGGCATGCAAGCTGATTGCTGCCCTGACGCAGCACTGCCCACAGTCCAGGCTGCGACTTTTCTCCTCTCCTTGGAGGCAAAAGCCTGGTGAGAAAGAGCTGTGTCCGAGTCATCGTGGTTCCCTAGTGCCTGGCACTAGGTTATAATCACTCTCTGTCTTTTTAGAAAATGAACAAGTGAATGGAACCCATCACGTGTACAGGTCTGTACTTAGCATTTGCTTCTTCAGATACTGTTAAAAACAACAGCTTGAAATCTGAAGAGCATTTCAAATGACACACCAAGAGCGTTTTTGTGATTTCAGCAGATGGTGAATGGTCGGTCATTTGGTACATGACTGATACATGCCTGATAGATGATAGATAGATAGATAATATATAGACAGATGATAGATAGATGAGAGATATTTAGCTAATTTAGAAAGATATTTAGTTAGATAGAGATATAGATAGATTTATTTATAGAGTAGATAGTTTAGAAAGAAAGATAGATAGATAGATAGATAGATAGATAGACAGACATGGGTGGACAGGCCGATGGACAGCTAGAGGCTTGTTGGATAGAGTCTTGTGTCTATGTGGACCTTAAGTCCAACGTCCCTTGAAGTGTGGTGACTTCATCAGAATATCTAGCCTCTGCTGAAATGGCCAGAGGAGACTTTAAAGATACACATATGGGAATTTATTGTGAGATCTTCACAGCTGCTTTGGGATAACCTGAAGATACTCTCTGACTGAAAGAGCAGAATGGGACAGCCAGCCTCTGGCAGTGGTGTAGGGCAGAGCAGTGTCACACTGGTGAGGGGCCTGTGCCTTAGAAAGAGGGCAGGCATTCAAAAGTGGGCTTCACTCAGGGCAGACCTACTGTGTGCAGCCGAGAACGGTGAAACTGCACCCTCAAACTCCGTTTGATGGGGCTGGCACTTTGAGTAAAGCATGCATCCCACCAATTTTTCTAGCTGTTTGCCAACCGTTTTCCAAAAACATAAAAAGTTCTTTTCATGGTCTTCCTAAAATTCCAAACTGTAGAAACAAGCAGGTTGTTTCTCTTCCAGTTAAAGGAGAGAGTGGAGGCTGACAGGCCCTCCAATGCGCAGTCTCTCAGCCTCCACCTCAGGGTCTCCGCCCTCTCCGACCCTGCCTCTCTCCCTGTCACAGCCTCTGCCTCCCTCTCCTTCCCCTGGTTGGGCCCAGAGGCTCAACCACCATCCACCATGGCTTCTCGCCCACAAGATCTTCACCTGTTAGTGACTCTGGTGTGTCTGTCCCCAGGTCCACAGTCCTACTGGTTTGCAGGACACATGGGGTGAAACCTCCTCCCAAGGCCCATTGGATTCACAGTGGAGAGAGCTGTCTGTCACCGGGCACAGAGTGCGGGGGCTGGCTCTTTAAGCTGCCGCGAGGATGTGCCCCCGAGATGGCTCTGACTGTTTGGTGAGGGGCTTTCTCAGTCCTGCCCTCCTCTTCTGTTCTTCCCGGCCACTCCCTTCTACCTGCTCAGCCCTGACTGTCGGCCCAGGTTTAAGATGTAATGTCTGTCTCCCTGGGTTCCAGTCTCCACTGAGAGCACAGAGGAGAGGGGTTGGGAAGTAGGTTCCGAGTCACAGACCTCTTCAAATCCTCTGTGATGACACATCTGTAGATCTGCAATCCCTCTGAGTTCAGAGGTCTCACTTGCAAACCTGGGATGACACACAAGTGCTTCTTGTTATTTTGCTGGAAGGAGAAAATGAGTCAAATCCTGGAAAGTGCAGAGCGCAGTGGCTGGTCCACGGTAAGCCTCAGGGACGGTCACTTTAGGATTATTGGGTCACTCTGCTCATGAGTTCTGTAGCCCCAGGGACAAGAAAAACAACACCAAGCTTCGAAGGGTACGAGGCTTTGGACTGGTGGCTTTGTTTTTGTTTTGTTTTTGAGACAGGGTTTTACTGTGCAGTACAGATTGGCCTTGAACTTGTCAGTCTTCCAAGTGCTAGGATTACAGGCGTGCACCACCACTCCCAACAAGCTTCTTCTTCTTCTTCTTTTTTTAACTTTGAACAGCTCAGGACCTAACTAAAGAATGGAGGATGAAAGGGAAGAGAATTTGCACAGATGGTATGCCTTCCCTTCTACTTCTCAGGCATCCTGACAGTTGCTTTATCTTTTCATCTTCTCTGAAGTCACACAGTGCAGGTGGAGTGGAAGGTTGGACGTCTTGCTCCCATAGATCTCGAGTCTCAACATGCACTCCTGGGATCAGTGAGCATAGAATCATTTACTCCGGAGCTCGGAATCTGCCTTCCAGGTGACAGGCGTGAGGACTGGGGGTGTGGATAGTCAGCTCGGTGTTATATTGCGTCATCTAAAATTTGATCTTTATCATTTCTAGGGTTTAGACATATAGCATGTTTTCTCCCTTAGTTAGATGACAAATTCTCCCAGGCGAGGACCATGGTGTCACCCGAAAGCAGGTGTGCGGCTCGCTCCTCGGTACCTCGCTGGGGAGTAATGAGACTTGACCGAGCATGGCTCTCTGCCCTGCAGAGGCCTGATGGGTCAGTGCCCTCATCATACCTGATTTTGTCTGATGTGCAGAGCGAGTTTTAATCGACCCTGTCTTGATATCAGTGGGGTGGGTGTTCTTCTGCTGCCTCACACTTGGAGATTGAAGAGTCTCCATAGGGAATAACATTCGCCTTCCCTCCAGAACAGTCATTCACCTCTCCCACCACGAACTGCAGCACATTTTCATGGCAGGATCGGCAGTAACCTTTAGGGGTACGAAGACTTCTTGCTTATCATGTGTGTTCCCGCAAAACTGAGAGGTTGCCTGAGTTTTTATGGTAGTTTTCTTTGAGGTTCCATCAACATCTCTAGAACATGGAGGCTCCACCATCAGAGTCCTGTGCGTGCTTTTCCAGGATCCTCCTGTCGTTACGAGCCGTGATACTCGACTGTAGCTTCTACATCCAAACGCAATTCTCTGATGACCAACCCACTAACCATGTTGGACGTTTGACACCATGGAGGACGTTTGGAGCATGAGGTTCCAGTCTGTGCACTGTGTTTACCTTCTTTTATTCACAGTAGCCTCCCCCCTCCCTTCTCTTCCTTAGGATCAACAGTCTGGGGGGGCCCAGAACCCAGGCCCCAGTCCAAGTCCCAACTCCTGCTCAAACCCGAACCCTGGAGTTGGCTTCCTGAACTCCCAGCAATCGCTGCTGAATCAGCAGCTGATGGGGAAGAAGCAGACCCTGCAGAGGCAGGCCACGGAGCGGAAGCAGCAGCTCCTCCTTCAGCAGCAGAGACTGGCTGACACGGTAAGACTGGGTCCTGGCTTTTACTGCCCATGGTCCCGCAGAGTGAGGGCATTCCTTCCACTTCTATCCTGTCCTTTCCTATGTGCCTACTTCTGTGACAGCAGCAGGGTGCCCTGTCTGCAGGAGAGGCCAGCTCCATACATTTATTTCAACAGTTGTGATTTACAGGGCCTTGGAATACACAGTGCCTCCACTGCCCTGCCCTGCCCTGCCCAGCTCAGGAAAGTCTAGAACGACAGACATGGGCATTTGAAATAAGTGAGAGAAACCAGCACTTACAGACACCCGGGTAACTCAAATCCAAACTCATTTAAAACTACATGGAGCTTGGAACATTTGCCTTCCAAAACAAAACATCTCAGAATGAAAGATCTTTTTAAAGACAATTGAAACTGTATTTCTCATTTTCACCATATTTGTGTGGGTTTTTAAGAAAGCAAGGTCATGTTTGGGAAACACTACCCTGGTGGTAAGCCCCACTTCAGTACTTACCTGCTTGTCCCTCTGGATTCTCACACACACTCATGGGAGCCGAGCCCTGTGTCCTCCTAAGACCACAGCTCCATCTCCAGTAGTTTTCATTCTCCTTCTATTTGGTCAAATGAAGTAAGAAAGAGTCTAAGTTTAAGTTTCCCAGGTTAACAGAGCCAAGGTACAAAGAAAAGAGAAAACTCAGGGCTGCGAATCTAGTCCAGGGTAGAGCACTTCCCTTGCATGGAGTTCTTGCCTGGGTTTGATCCCCAGTACCACAGAAAGAGAAAAATAGAATCAAATCATTTTAGGCTCAAGGAGCTTTGCAGAACGAGTCAGAAGTGTGGGGTTTTAAATGTGATATCATTATTCAACAAATATTAATTTTCCAAGGCATAGAATGTGTTCAAGGATAGAGAAGCAGTCATGGAGGCCAGAGAAGGGCAGGACTTGATAACCAGGATGCACACTGTCTGAAAAGCAATGGAGAGGATTTTAAGGATTTAAAACAAGAAGTACTATATTCAGACTTGCATTATAGTAATGACACAGACATAAAAAAAAACATAATGGAGAGAAAGATTAAATTTAGCCTGGAAAAATAGACGGTGGTCTCCATCCTTGGATGTTGTAAATTGGACAGTGTTGTAAAGCCAATGTTGTAAATTGGCTGTAGGGTTCTGAGGGAACAGTAGGGTCTGCCATTTTAGGTGGAAAGTGAACCAAAGACGCAAAGATACAGTCTGGCCGTGTATTTATCGGTTACTTTGAGATTATATTATGAAATATTTAATGCATGCTAAATAGTATAAATAACAACAATCACGTATTTTATAGGAGTGACAAATGGAGCATCAAAAGGAGAAATAGTGAGAAGCAAATTTACCTGATCTTGAGTAGGAGACAGTAAGAGCTAAATTTTCAGGTGACCTGAGTACTGTCCTGGGGCACAAGGTGTAGGGGAGCCAGGACTGGATCACAAGCAACTCCACTGGTTTCTTCTGCAAATCACAGTTTTGAAAACACCAGTGCTTCCACCTGTTCACCCTCCTCCTTTTCTTTTATCTTATGAAAGCAAATAGCTTAGAAACAAGGACAGCGGAAGAGAAACACATGCATCTAAAACCGACTTACCTGGTGTATTTTTACTCTTCCCATTGACACTACTAATTTGATCAACTGTGGCATGCAGAGGTTGGATTTGTGGGCCTCCAGAAATCCCACATTCCATGAGGATCCGGGTTTGCGGCTTCTCACTGGGACGGGTGCGATGGGCAGAGGGGCACTGTGAGAGAGGAAGGAAGATGAGGCTGCCTCTTTGATTTTATAAACCACTCACATTCTTCTTCACCTGGGCACCGCGGAGGGCGTCTTGAGGCCCCTTTTTACATCAGCATAAGCTGTGTGATGACTTCGTCATTGGCCAGACCAGATAGGCGCCTCAAGTGAGAGATTGCTCATGAACGTTTGCTACCCTTATTCTCTATTATTCTCCCGCCAGTGAAGCGCAAACAAGAGAAATGAGCAGTACTTACTGCAAAGATCATTGTTGCCAACATATAGTATGCACCTTCTGTATGCCAAGCACCATGGCTGTTTTTACAGAATTAAAGGATTCACCCTTACAGCAGGAGTCTGAGGGAAGGAGGTTCTGTAATTACCCACGTCTCACATTTTCACAGACGGGGAGACTGTAGCAAATGACTTTTAGGCTTGCAGGTGCAAAAGATTGGGTTATCATGAAAAGTTAATTGATTAATTATATTTTATATTGCTCAGAAGTAATTTCAGAGATGGCCTGTGCGTCATTCCCTTGAAAACTGTTTCCATTCGATACTGGGGTGTAGGTTTTGCTACTCTTCACATAAAGTAGTAGTTTGGCACTTCTATGCTATAGACCCCCAATCTAACTTATTTAAGGAGTTCTAGTCTAAGAAACTCAAGTTTCCAGACATGTATATATTAACCCTCTGAACTACAGCAATCGAGCTCTCTGAAAGCTAAAACGACAATAGCTTGAAGATACGTAAAAACAAATCCAGAGCTGAAATCTAGGATTGGAAATCAAGGGTCTAATTACCACACACACACACACACACACACACATCATTTTCAACATAAATGGTAGAAACACCTAATTATATAGGAAACATGCTTCTTTGGAAAAGCTTAAAAATCAAAAATGTCAGTTTACACAAGGGTTTCCAAGGGCTTCTTCCACATTGCCACATTTGGGTTCAATGGAACATCTCAAGCTGTTTCTTAAACATTTTGGGTTTGGGCAAAACCAAAGAAGGAGTTTCACCAACCACTTTCCCTCCATTTGTAAACCAGTGTTTAAAAAAAATGTAATCCATATGTTTCTGATTCATTTACACTTAACTTGTCACAGTTGTGTTTTATATGAATTACTTGAAGACCAAAAAACTGAGTCGATGAAGTTTTTTTTCTTAGACACAGAAATGAACTTTGTTTGTTGTTGTTTTAAAGCTCTGTCCCCCTGTACGGTAGACTTATTCTGATTTGATTGGAAACTGAGACACACCGCTTTAAGTGAGTTCTAAGTGATTGACTCATCGTCTGTTATAAAGCTTTCTTTTCTAGACACTTTCCTAGAATTACAGCGTCTCTCTCCCTATGGCAATTGTTTTTATCTTTGAAAGCGGAGGTTTATACAATGCAGACAAATCGCAGTTCCAAAAAGTACCTGATCCGTGCGGAGAAAGAAAAACAGCAGCCCTTGATGTGCACGACTGATAGGACATCCAGAGCCAAGTCGTTCTGCTGTGCGGAACATAAGCAGTCTCACAAACTCTCAACTTCAGAGGGTTACTCTGACACCAGTGTAAACTGAGACAAAAATAAGGCCACTTCATAATTTTGTCTAAAGTCAGATATAAACAAGGTCACCGTGTAACCCCCCGAAATACCAAACATCACCCTATCTCACTAAATGGATAACTACTTCTTTACAGAATCGTAATACAATCCACCTCACTTTCCAACAGCTTCCAGTCTAGGGAAAAAAATCTTCCCTTCCTTCAATCACCCAAAGTCAAAATCCTAATGCTGCTTGTTCCTGCTGAGACACCCCAGGGCCCCAGAGAAGGCACACCCTGGCTGCAATGAGTAATACCCCCAGAGGGTCTGCTCCTGGCGGTCCTTGGCTGAGGGCTTTGATGATATTAAAAGATGTCCCTATGTCTTTCCTAATCTCCCAAACGCTCCTGTGGAAAGGATCTAATGGTGGCTGACTCCCGAAGAAAGAAAAGGAGGGAGCCTGGGGAATTTAGCACACCAAGAAACCATACAGTAACGAAGGGCCCTTGAGTCCGGAGGCAGTAGGAAAGGCCTGAGTTTTCGGCTCAGGCTTTAGTCTCTTTTTTTTTTCTTTTGCGTACTGGGGTTTGAACTCAGGGCCTACCCCTTGAGCCACTCCATCAGCCCTAGCCCTTTTATGTGAAGGGGTTTTTCAAGATAGGGTCTCTCAAACTATTTGTCTGGATGGCTTCGAACTGCAATCCTCCTGATCTCTGCCTCCTGAGTAACTAGGATAATAGGCGTGAGCCACTGTCACCCAGCTAGTCTCCTGTCTATTGCTGGGTGCCCTTGTGTGCCCTTGACCATGTTACTTAGCCCAAGGAAGCTACTACTTCCTCTTCTTTTATGAAAATAATCATACCAACCTTGGAGGATTAATTATGAGGGGGTTAAAAACAGGCAGCATGCATCCAGTGCTTTACCAGGACCTGACAGGCCACCTCCTCTCCTCATCCTCTTCCTACCTGGGTCTGCCAGATTTAGCCTTGCAGAACACCCAGGTGTTCCTGTGTTATCTGGCAACCCTACACGTAGGCTTTCCATACACCGATGCAAACACAAACTAGAAACACGCAGGGAACTTGGTGCTTACCGGAATCTAGTTGCAGAGTAAAAGCTGTGAGAGCAGTTCCCAGGACACATGTTCAGTGTTACGGAGAAGTAGAAAGGACTTCCACACAGGAAGTTTATTGAAATTAAAAGGCGTGCCTCTGAATCAGCCCTACTAAATAAGGTCATGAAGATTTGTAACCCATGACTGCAAAACTGTGGTTATAGTCTTACTTTTTAAACTAGCACATAAATTTTTATAAGTGAAAAAGTAATGATATAATTTTAATATGTTCTCCTTTGTGCTTTCAAGGAGAAAATTGCACCACAAGATCAGATAAACCGACATTTGACAAGGCTGCCCCCAGACTACAAAGACCAAAGAAGAAATGTGGGCAGCCTACAGCCAGCGGCCCAGTATTCTGGTAAGTTTTTAAAAACTAATAAAAATCATAACTGTGAAAAAGGAAAACTATCCAGTGCTCAACCTTTCCTTTCGTATTGACCGTGACACCTTCCCTGGTCCCTGACTCTCTCTGACTCCAGGGTCACTTTCAGATCAAGGCCACACTTGGTCCTTTCTCCAGCTCTTGCCATTCTTGTCCTGCTGAGCCCATGCATTCTCCTCTCTATAGTGTATTTTCCTAACCACGCTTGTGTAACCAGGCTTTTTCTCTCCACCTTTGAGCCCATCCCCCAAGGCTTCCTTGTCAAGGACAAATCATCCTGCTACCAAGGAATGCTTGAAAAGCAAATTGTGTCCTTATAAAGCCAACCCCAAAAACCAAAAGACACTTGACTACGTCTCTTCAGTCACAAAACAAAACAAAACATTTGACTATGTCTCTCAATATAAAATAGGTGGCAAACACTCCCCAAATGTCTCTCCTGCTATTCACTGGACTCCAAAAGAACCTCCCCAAACCCAGCCTGCTCTGCTCCTGCCTTCTGTTTAGCATCTGTTCAAGCCTCTTCTGCCCAAAATTTTCCGCACTTTTTCATGCACACCAAGCCATCTTCTTGGGTTTCCCAGCTTCCCTTTGTCCTGCTCCCCATCTGTCCAGGAAGTCATAAAGAAAATTGTCTAAAGAAGGAAAGGCTGTGAACACTGGTATGTGTTACTGCTTCCTAGTCCTGTTAAGTGTAATGTAAATAAGTTGCCCTAATATTTTATAATTCTTCAAATGCACCAGATGGTCTCTCGCCACTAAAATTAGGAGTTAGTGTATGTAGTCCACTCTCAAAGACTGTTTAGCCTCAGTGGAAAAACAGCATTCTCTCTTTGATTATTCTCAAATGGTTTCTTTGTGTTTTGTTGGTACAATAATAACCATCTTCCCCAGATGTTAATATTAGAAGGAAATCCAAAAAGAACCTGTAAAATTTTCTGTCACATATTGGAACCTCTAATGTGAATTGTTATTATTATCTTGTGATCTTTGTGGAAATTCTTTCTATTCTCATTGCTTAAAAATACCACAGAGTGGGCCATGGTGGCTCACACCTGTAATCCCAGTGCTCAGGAGGCTGAGAAAGGAAGATCCCAAGTTCGAGGCCAATTTGTGCTACATAGGGAGACCCTGTTTCAAAAAACAAACACTGCTTTCCTGTAAGCCTTCTCAAGGTTTTCAAAATCCAGCCCTTACAGGGATAATTTCCTGAACATCTGAATTTTTCCCTATGGCATTTGCATAGTACAAATTCCCTTCCCGTGAAACCCTCAGATAGAATGATGGTATTGCTTCTGTCACCGGTGTGCATGGTATACACTCAGCATCGTCTGAGAAGCTTCTACCTGGCCCTGGGCCCTTCGTCAAACACTGCCCACTGTACCATGCAGGGCCCTGGGTCGGGACTAGAGGTACAGGGTACAAGAGACTGTTCCTGCCTGGAAAGAGGTTTGTTTTGAAACAAGCTGGCCTTATAGGTAGCATCATCACTGAGCCTCCTCATGCCTGAGGTTACAGTTGCAGACAAGCCCTTCTCATAACTGCCACTGTGCTGTTCTCAGTGTGGAGCTCTCTGCTTCTCGCTGTTTCTCATTCTTCAGGATGAGTACTTCATAAAAGCATCGTTCTCTGGGTTTTGTCTTCACTTCAATCTCTCATTCATTCATTCATTCAAAGCGTATCAGTTGGATACCAATTTTGTGGCATCCACTAGACTCAGGGAATGAGACAGTAAACAAAACAGGAAGAAATGCCTTTCCTGGTAGAGCCTGCTATCTAACAGGCACTATTTTCCCCTTCCGGGCCCTCCATTGCTGCATCTCACGACGTCATCCCACAGTGATAGGAATAGTTCAGTGTGTTGGTTGGTCACCATCTATACCTGGAGTCTTCCTACTTGGCAGCTGTGATTTAGGCACTGTCCCCCATCCTGTCACTTCATGACAGACATCAGTTTAACAGGCATTCCCCATTAAACTGCCTAAGTGCTACAGGAAAGATTCAAAGAGAAAATGCTGCTGGAGAGCCGAGGCTGGATAATAAGGGGAAGCTTAAAGAGGCATTGGAGCCTTGGCCTGAGGCTGGAGCAAAAGCTAGGGCTCGGTGAGGGAGGGGCGTCATATGAGAGAGAAGCAGCAAATGTGCTTGCTGTGTACTCATAGCAGTGTCATAGTAACTAGTCGTCCTGGGGCAGATGGCTTTCCACGAGGAAACAGTCACCAGAGCCTGGATTACAGCAAATTCCAGATGCTCAGGTGGTCGCTTTATCCGCTGGACACTGGGGAGCCACTGGTGGTAGGTCCTTGAATGAGAGATGGCAGATGAAGAATGAGGTGTGATCTCAGGGCCGTGGGGTAGAACTGTTAACCCAGTAGCCATGTGTGGGATTTACACACGCTTTCTTATCTGAATGCTGGGGGAAAACGGTAGCATGGATTTCCTTCCAGCTGGCTCACCAGAGTTGTAGCTGGACTTGGAACGCAGCAGAGCTAATTCAAAAGGCAGGATTGACTGCCGCCTCAAAAGACTCCAGAAGACGACAAAAGTAAAACCTACTAAACACAACCATTCCATTTTAGTCTTCCTTCTGTAATGCGGGAACTCTTGAGGAGTGGCCTAGGCTGATACTTGCCCCCACCCCAGTTGTTGTAACCCTGCTATATAGTATGTTTGGTAGTTATTTCTCTCAAACTGTTCATGCATTGCAAATTACTGTAACACAGCTATTATCTGCTGTTATGAATGAATATAATTCTCTTCTCTCCCTTAGGTGGCCCATCGACAGTGAGTTTAAACTCCAACCAGGCTTTGACAAACCCAGTTTCAACACACACCATTTTGACTTCAAATTCCAGCCTCATGTCTACTTCCCAGGGGACAAAAATGCCATCATTATCCACAGCAGTTCAGAACATTGGGATGTATGGAAATCTGCCCTGTAATCAGCCTGGCACGTTCAACGTCACTTCAGGGATGAATCAACTGACACGACAGAGAAACCCAAGTCAACTGATAACAAATCAAAACAGCCCTCTGATGCCACGGCCACCCACCTTAGGGCCAAATAACAACAACAACGTCACCACTTTTGGAGCCGGGGCTATTGGTAGTTCACCACAACTGAGACCAAATTTAACCCACAATATGGCAGGCGTGCCAGCTCAGAGAACACCAAATATAATGATCACATCCAACACAATAGCACCAAACTGGGCTTCTCAAGAGGTGACAACCAAACAGCAGGAAGCCCTGAAGTCCACAGGAGTCCGCTTCCCCACAGGTGCACCTGCAGCCTATACCCCAAACCAGCCCTTGCAGCAGACAGTAGGAAGCCAGCAATTTTCCCAAAGGGCAGCAGCACCTCCTAACCAGCTAACACCAGCAGTACAAATGAGACCCATGAACCAAATGAACCAAACTTTGAATGGGCAGACCATGGGACCCCTCAGGGGTCTGAATCTCAGGCCCAATCAGATAAGCACACAGATGTTGTCTAATTTGAACCCATCAGGAGCAGGGTTGAGTCAATCAAGGACGGGTATTAGCCAAACAACATCCCTGACTCCCAACAATTTTCCTTCATCCACCCAAGGTTCCAGGGCTTTTCAAGGAGCTGACCAGGGCAGTGACTTGGCTTTTGACTTCCTCAGCCCGCAGACTGACAACATGGGCCCAAGCCTGAACAGTGATGCTGACTTCATTGATTCTTTGTTGAAGACAGAACCTGGCAATGATGACTGGATGAAAGACATCAATCTTGATGAAATCTTGGGGAGCAACTCCTGAAGGAGAAAGGGGAGTCATTTCTAAACTCCAAGCACTAAAAGGCAGTATTTCACAAGGACAATGTCAAGGTCAAACTGTTGACTTCCAGATGGACTACACAAAGATACCGTGGCTTAGAAATGGAAAGCAGAAAGTAACATTGCAGTGGTCAACATTTTGGTCCAAATTCTTGTTTAAAACTCTCAAACCTGAAAGTAAAACACTGGGATCAGTTTTCCCTATCTGAACTTCAGGACAATTTACCCACATAGAACTGTGCTGTTGTGTAATTAATTGGCTCCCTTACCATAGAACTTGTAGATCATTTAACCCATATCATGAGGAGGTACTAGGTCCAAGCAACAAATTCCTTAATATAGTCTAATAGATATATGTGGCTTAATTTTTCCACTGTCTTTTCATTTAATCTTCCTAAAGTTTGCAGGACAGATTGAAATGTTAGAGTTTGCCTGGAGTGATGGAGCAGTGTCCTAAGTGAGGGAAAATCAGTGAATTGGAGACTTTCTTCCCTAGCTTCATGCTTCACTTCCACACTTTCCCCACACATCCCATGCATCAGCAGGGTGTAGGGTTGTGTGATTGGATTTTGGCTTCTATAATCAATTTCTCGATCTGTTCCCTGCCTAGTTTTAGATATGACTAAGGCCTGTCCTGATCATCTTCAAATACTAGACACGCTTGTCTGCATCAGATTTCACCTAAAAACTTAAGACATTTCCATAGAGGAAATGCTGTCCACAAAGAACCAGAGGTTTTACTCATGGTGCCCAATGCCCATGTGGTGCCCAAGTCAGTGAACTTGAACCTTCCCTCATGTATTCTGATGACCAGAAAGGGGTTTGCAGGAAAAGAAAGTTTGGAGACCAAAACTGAGATTGGAAAGTGTCATGTTTTGACTGGAGATGAGAATCAGGAGTGGTGGGCATGGGAGACATTGCTCTGTCTCACGGAGGTTAGAGGAGCTTAGATGGAAGACAAACATGATTGACTCTTCTTTGGCAGTGTCATTCGGCTTGAGTGAGCAGCTTCAGTTCCTGATGCAAAGAGTCCTTGCCGTGTGCTCCACGGGCTGTATCTGGGTTTTCTCCCTCAGGGCTGAGCACTGTGTCCAAGACAGAATTTTTGTTAAGCCATTTGACCTCAGTCCCCACAAACAGCTGGGTAGAAAATGGGGAAGATGTGGAGATTTGGGGGAGATGCAAATTTATCACTGTCGTTTCCTGATTACAAGAAGCAAAGGTCATCCTCGACCTCTGAGTTACACACTCCCATATTCAAATAGCAAATGTAATTTAGGTGAAGTTACGGAAAAGCCAAATTTGGGACTGAAGCAATACCTATTCAAAGAGAACACATTTGAAAGTTTTGCAAAGCCCACTTCCACTCTTTAAAATACCCAGAGGCACTGACAGCACCAACATCACTGGCCCAGATTCTTTCTGTGCTAATTTGTAAATATACATGAATTACGTGTTTTGTAAACTTTTGTAAAGAATATTTTGGTAGAAATACTTAAAACATATTCTTTGGGTTATATTTATACATATGTGAAATAAATATACTTTCAAAAGGTTATATTTTATACAAAAAGTAAATTGTTACCTTTTGTATGCTAATATACAAAGTTTTGTATAATAGGATGGTTTATTTTTAGCACCATGCTTAAACCACAGGCGATCAAGTGGGAACTTTTGAAAGCTATCAAGAGGCTTGTTAGACAAATTTATATTCTGAAACTTCAGTAAGAAAGCATTCCAGGTTTCAATCCTTCCCTTTTTTCCCCACTCCTGAGTTCTTTATGAAGCCTGTAGTTTTATATCTTATTTGATTATTCTGCTGTACACATTGTGTTAGTCCTTGTTGCATGTGGTCTGCTGTGTGTCTCTCATTTTATAAAACAGTGTTTCTCCATGCAAAAAGAGAGAAAAGTAATGTACATATAAACACTTTTATTTTCTGCCTCCTCCATGTAACTGTATATATCTGCCAGCACTTCCCTGGACACTCCTGTAATTCATTCTATTTTTACCCTAACATAAATAGTGCGTTTGTAGTAGCTATCAAATTTAAGAGATAAAACAATCAGAATTTTGGATTTTCTTCTATCTTAATGTGAATTTCATAATTAATGTCTATTTATTCAGCTATTCATTAAAATACAGGATTCTTTGGAAAAATGGTGTAATCTATAGCTTCTGTTTGTTGGTATCCTATTACCAAAGGTGACATAATTTTCCTGAAAGCTGAAGTAATGACAATTTGATAGACATATCTAGCCAGAACCTTAGGATTTATGACTTAAGAGCTATTGGAATATAATCTCCATTTATACTATAGAAACACCAGACTCCTTAATTGTTGGCATTGTTTATCATCTGGACATATTATAAAGGAGGTAGAAGTCATTTTTCTTTCTTTTTTTAATTCAGAGACGAGAAAGCAATGTAAGCAAATGATTCATCTTTGGCTTTGTGTAAGGCGCAAAGAAGAGAAATAACCGCTCTACATGAAATCACTAATGTGACCTGCATCGCTGTAACTCTACCCAGAACTGTAAAGATTTCCACTTGTAAAACAAGTACTTTGTATTGTGTGTAAGTCCATGTGTAAAAAAACAATTTAAAAATTCAGAAGTGGTTTTCTTGTATGAAGTCATACTTTCAGTCACCAACAGCATTATTGCTACATTACAGAGCTCTGAAAACTCATTAATAATTGGTACATAAAGGCAGATTTATTTTGTAGGAAGATTTTAATACTAGTAAAATGCTAACTTGTGTCTTTTCAATGTGTTTAGTTCACTTAGCTTGTATTAAAATTTTATGTACATAACATCTGCTAAATTCTGGAGAAACACTGCCTAATTCTCAGGTACTGAGGGCATTTGCCTAGCCTGCCGTGTGACACTGGAGACCAGGCACAGAGAACCCAGGGCTCAGTAGATACCACCTGGCCGGGCATATTTACACAGCCCTTCTTGAGAAAGATGGGCCTTTGTAGGAGGCAGAGGAACCATTGCAAATTCTCCTGCCCACTGTCTAAGAGTATCGTTAGGCTCCATTGCTCCCTCCCTCTGACAAAAGAAACTATGTGACATCTTTTTTATTACCATTATAAAGGGAACAATGATAAAAATTAATATTTTTGTGGCTCTTGTCTCAAAGATTGGATAGTAAACATCAATAAGAATGAATAATATGCACATAAATTAAGAGAAAGAAATAAGTAATTTCATGAGCCCTAGGAGGTAGCCATGGCAGGAGAGTTGAAAGAGGAACTCGAGAGTAAACTGAGTGCAGATGAGAGAACAGCTCAGACTCTTCCCAGGCTATGGTGGCTGACAGCAGTCAAAATCTTAACCACTTTATCCACAGTTTATTTCCATTTTATATTTTATGTAAATATGTTTCATAGTCCAAAACAGAAAGTTTGAAGCTGAAATATATGTCCACTCCTTTCCAACTCTGGACTCTGACTCTGTGATAATTTTTTTTTCAAAACTTAGTAAAAAAATTACCAAAAGGTTCAATAGCATTCTTTTGAAAGTAAATTATTGGTCACTCAACATTTAGAAAATTCTCAGGTTGTCAGGCATCTTTATTTAACAAAGCAGCCATCTCCTTTAAAATTAAACCATGAGCAAGATTTCAGAATACCCAGGCCAGAAATAGACTGTTGACAAATAGAAAGGCAGTGTCAACCCTGCTGACCACTAACCCAGCCCTGAAGGTCAACAAACAGACGTGTGGTATAAGACGCTCGTTTTCCTGTGAAGTCATAGACTCTCACAAAGAAAGCATTTATCTACGAGGGAGGAGAAAAACCATTACTTTTGCACTAGTCATACTTTCAATCACTGTGACAAAACTTAAGGGAGGAAAGATTCACTTCGCTCATAGTTTCGGTCCATCCTGGGAGGGAGGGTGTCACAGAGCAGAGCAGCTCACATCATGGCGGCCAGGAAGCAGAGACAGCAAGAAAGTGCCTACCCTCTGCTTTTTCCTTTTGCCCCTTTTATTGCAGCTGAGCTGGTCTTTCCCCCTTAGCTAATAATCTCCAGAAATCCCCCCACAGGCACACCCAGAGGAGTGTTGTACTAATCTCCTAGAACCATCTCAATCCAGCCAAGTTGACAATTAGTACTTACTCTCACAGTCTGAGCAGTAAACTCCACTGAGTATGTGTTAATGAACATTTGTGAGTTGTAAATGACTGTGTAACATCCTGTAAATGTCATTTCCAAGTTTCTATAAAAGACAAAGTACAGGTAGTGCCCCAGGATCGATTTCATTGGCAGCAATGGATAGCAGCAACGTTTTCCAGTGGGAATTTCTGTCCCCTTCCTCTGCTGAGGAGTGGCCAGGGAATCAGATTTCTCTCAGGTCTCACCATATCTCCTACTAGAAAGCCCAGCTCTCTGATTTAAGTGTGCAAGAACATTGCTGAAGACAAAGAAGCCAACTCTTAAAAGTATAAACTGACTTCTACTCAGGGAAACAATAAAACACCTGGACTAGTCCAAAAACAAGAGAGAACTTAATGCAAGGACTTGGTTAAACTGGGGACTGACAAGTTAAGAGGCAAAGACCATAAGGGCCATTCAGAGATGACCAAGGGAGGGTGCCATTACCACTCCCCAGGTGAAAGGCCAAGACAGTCAAGAGCCCAGGGTCACTAAGCAGATCCTGCACTATTATCTGCCCTATCTGGTAGGAGGCAGCTCCAGTGAGGAGGCTCAGCTGCTGACAGAGGAGGCACTAGTGACAGGGAAGAGAAGGACTTCCCCACTCCCCTCACGCCACACACCTTGTTTGCTGCCACTCGCCGGTTAATTCATGTTTATTTGCTGATCGCAGTTGGAACACAGTCTGAAGGAGTGCATTACAGACCAGAGCAGAAAAGGGCAAGGGTAAGCCTGCCAACAAGCAAAGCCAGGTCCGGCATCACAAACGCGCCAATCTCTGGATCTTGCAGACCTACACATGGGCAGCTTTCTTAGCCACGCCTGATGTTCTCCTTCTCACTTTCAGACGTGTTCATCTAAATCTATTTATTGTAGAATGCTATCAAGTAGGAAACTTCAGTTCAAGTACATGAAACCCAACTAAAGATGGTCTAGATAGTGTGGGCTAGCTTACATTTCACTGACTCTGAGAGCTAAATGTCTTTCGTTTGCAGTTACCTGTAAAATTAGGTCACCATTTACAATCTATGATACAAAGAGAACGCGTTACATGTTTGTGTAGTGGTCAGCATTGTTTTCATTCTTACTCGGAGGTGGAATGACCCTGGGTCTTACATCAACAGCATCTTAGATTTGATGAAACGCTGAATCTGCCTCATGCAGCAAGGAGCTTGTGTGGGAGGCCTCACCTGACACAGGGGTCATATCAGATTCATAGGTACTTTTACCTTTCACCTCTGCCATTGAGGACCCATTCTTGTCACTCTGTGGTGACACATATGTTCCAACTTAGAAAAATGAAAAGGAAAAAAACATGAAGGGCAAAAAATGTCTCTCCCTTCTCATTTGGGACAGGTAAGGTACCTAGAGACTTCTGTAAGTGTACCTCTTTACTCAGGACTGTTTCATGGCTTTCTGGACCTTCAGGAGTTACAGCCTCTAAAGTAAATTACAAGAATGGAGGTGGCTGGAAATGGCAGTAAGTAAAGGTATAAAGGCATGCATATGAGTGACAAATACAAATTCCAAATATCATCTTTGCAAGAATATCGAGAAATATGACTGAGAAAGTACCCACACAGGGCTTATTTATAACTTCATTGTGTTATTTTCTAAATTGAATGACGGCTACATGGTTGTTGCATTGTTTTGTATGTCTTTGTATGATACTAGGAGTGAAAAGAAAGCTGAGCTAAATTACTCTGAATTCTTACTGATGGTATTCTCCTGCAAATAAATGGTAATTGATTTGATTTAAGGGAGTGTGCAGATGAGATACACCAAAAGGCCCTTCTAATTTGAAAATGTTAGATTTAAAAGCAAAAGAAGAGTTTCAAAACTTACTAAAAAACTACAGTAATAAAAAACACATATGGTACTGGCGTAAGTTTAGACATATGGCCCACGGGTAGAATTGAAAGTCTG